ACTTCACCTGTCTAATCACTAAAGAATCATTAAATGTCGCGATGCACCCACGATCTAACCCATCACGATGCAAATTTGTTATGAGCTCGTTGCTAGCCTTAATAGCACGACTAATTCTGGTATTCATTTTTTTTTGTTATAATTATTGTTTCAAAAAATATTGAGACGGCCCAGAGACCGCCTTTATACAAATTAAAAGAAATATCGTGTGATTAAAAATCATTAAAATAATTAGATAAACAATGTACAGTTTCCCTTTTATATATACATAATATAAGTTGGCCTTTATTAAATTTCCTTTATTTATAAAATTGTTTGTTTTTGTGGTTATTATTATTTATCGGATTGATTTTGTTCAACAAATGCGTTCATTTTCTGTTTTTCAATTCCAAGGAGAAACAAGACTGGAATCAATCTAAAAATAATCAATCAAAAAGGGATGTGTGTGGTTTGATCATTTAACATTAAGAGTAGAATTTGTAATTCAACGACGATGATCATTATTATTTATTATCTATTATCCATCTATATTTGGTAGTTGTTAGAGAATGTGTTCATTGGCAGAAATCAATCACACACAAACAATAATGATTACTGGTGCAAACGTTTCATATTCCTAGTGGAACTTTATAAATATTACACTGTTCAGAATGTTGGGAATACAGCACAAAAAAATCGCGTGTCTTCATATAGTACTTTATAACATTTGTATTGCATTATTGTATAAAATTTGTTTTTTTTATACTTTGAAAATCTTCAATAAAATATTATGTTTTACACTTGATTAAAAGTAATTATCAATTATTTACCAATACTTCTCTCGTCCCTAACCTTGATCTTCCGCGATATACTTTTCTAGTATATAAACGTATATTTGCTGATCGCTAATAATAGTCTCCCGTTATGCTTGTTACGAATTTCTTCTATGATGGAGAATTTGATTCTGGTTGAGCTGGTGCTTGCTCTGCAACTATATTGTCAACACCAATGAGATTTTCTCAGATTCCACTGATGATAGATAGAACCAATGCACGTGAATATACCAGACATCTTTTTTTTTTAAAAAATATATTTATAAAATTATATGTCTAAATCAAAAATTTGGTACAAAATTCACTATATAAAAAAAGAAAAATTTATTTTCGAAAAATAATTAATAGCGTTGATGATTATGGAATGAGGTACAATAATACATTAATCCTTAAGAAGCTTTCAAATCTTTCTATTTCATCTTGTAGTTTATTTGATCATTTAAAATACATTGAAGTGTAATATATTTCTCATTCAAATCTATAAATAATTGTTTGTTTTCCTCGTCCGAATCATCATACTCTTCATCTCCATATTCAAAATATGTATATGGAAGTTTATCCTGAGCTTTATTATATACATTTGTTAAATCTTTACGAATTTTTATAAGATTTTCATATATCCTAATATATTCATTTCTTATAAAGCAATCCAATTTATTGATCCTTTTTAATCTTAACCACACCATTATGTCATCCCTATATATATATAATCGACGTCTTCCCTCTTTATACCATGTTTTGTTTACTAACATTACATTTGCAATTTTTATTGGATCTTCGATTTGCTTTATAATTTTTACCAATTAGTTCTGGTGGTAATTTAAACACTGGAGCATTAGAATTCACATGCTCGATTTCTTCTCTAACCTCTACTAGATCTCCAGCCTCGAAGGGTCTTTGCTGTCATCTAGATTAGAAAGTGCTTTGACTATATAGTTAAAAGTTTGGATAATATAAGATTACATTTTTGTTTTATTTTATATAGAATGCAGAAATGTTTAATTTGAAAATTTTATTAATTTATTATTATGCCTAGTTTCATTAACTGACATGCTATGCATGCCCAGCTCGTTCCACTCACTTGTCTGATAACTACTTTGACAGAAAAAAATTTTTTTTCTTGGATTACATAGTAAATTGATATGAAATTGAGACTTACATGTCCTTGTGGATATGCATGATATAAAAAAAATTAATGGTATCGAAATTACTATGAAGTTGGCTTCTGGAACACCTTGTGAATATAAACTGGATAAATTGTCACAGAAAAAAACGAGTATTGTCCCAGAAACACCCATATTATACAATAGTTTTTCCTTTAAAAAATCAATGGATCCATTAACATGTCAGTTGTATGCTGTATTTTATCACAGTTACAAATTAGACATGCATTTTTCCTGTATATTCAATTGTAAATATATTACCTTTTTCAATTAATTCTAATGGTTTATCTTCTTTTTTAAGATTAATGTCATAGATTTCCATTAGTGAGTGGAATATCCCAAATATTGTCAAATAACTAATGCAATTATATCATCTAGATAACTATATATTGTAATTTTGCTAGTCATTTCTTTCAAGATGTTACACCCTATCATTGCTAGTGTTAAATTAGCAATCTACTGGATTCATCAGGAAATTTTTCTGACGCAGATTTATGTAATTATTACACTGTTTACGTAAGTTTATGGCAGGCCCATAATATTATGCAAATAAGCATACAAAAATTATGCAATTATTACATTGAGTGTAAAATATTACATAATTTTTATGCAAATATTACAACTTTACATATTAAAATTTACGGATGTAATATTGCGGCGGGGAAAATTTCCTGATGTTACCAATAGGCAGTCCTTTGATTTCAAAATACGTTTCGTTTTTATATTTAATGAAAAGAATCTTTTTATAAGTACCCATTTGAAGTGCTTAGGATCACTACTAAGGAGGCACTGAGCATATTTCAACACTATCTACTAAACATCTTGTAGCAGATGTATGCATATCTTTAACATCTGCTGCGAATACTTTCATGTTACCATCTGGGAAATTGAAAGTCTAATGGATGGACTTTCTAATATCCTATCTATTTTTGATAGTAATGGTTGTGAGTGATTTACTCACTTTTTCATTTATCAAGCCTACATTATGTTGGACATTTATATATTTGGCAATATACATATAATATTGGTATTTAAATTCTATTGAAATATATATTTCCAAACTATATTTTTTTATTATTGAATATATATCTTTCTAGTGATGTTAGCTGGCAGAAAACCCTTGGCTTAAATAAATCCCAGTTGATGAAAAACTTTTCAGATAGTACTAAGCTTTCCAGTATCATTATTACCGTTATTATTGCTACTAATATTATTACTACTAATAATATTATTATTTACTATTATTATTATAATATTCCGCCATTACTACAGCACTATTTAATGATTTGAATAAGTTTTATTCGAATTATTTATTTTATTCATTAATATCAAGGATTTGAATATTCGAATTACATTGAAGATTTATTCGAATAATTTAATAATAATAAAATGAACAATTATAATAATTCGAATAAAACGAATAAATTGAATAAAACGAATAAAACCAATAAAACGAAATAATTCAAATAAAACGAATAATAAAATGATAACTGATAATAATTCGAATTAATATTAATTGCTAATACTAAGATTGGGTTGTATTACGAATAGAAACTCTAACTATTGCTTTTATCCTGGAACGAATATTGTATTTTTTTTTTTTTGTCATTCTAAGTAATTTAGATGGACCCACCTCGACTAAGTGTTTATGTCATTGGATTCTACACTAAAATTCCAGACGTAAAAACGAATGTTAAGAAATATTTTTTTTTTAGCCAGCTTAGCCGGCTAACATCACTATATTTTTCTGCCATTCTTTGTACAAAAAAAGAATAGAACTCTACAATAAATATTTTTTTTTGAAAAAATCTCTTCATTACATCAAAACTAGAGAACTATTCTATCAAATAATGAGGCTATTTTTTTAAAAGGTAGGACAGAGAGTGACAGTTATCTGTGGCTGCTAAAATTTTTGGGTTCTCATCACTAAAACTTTTCAAACTGACCCGGAGACCCGACTTTTATTTTTCTATGTTATTAAAATATTTTTATAATAAAAATCCTAGAATTTTTTAAGCCGTAATTTTTTTACTATTCTAACTCTTCATAAAACATATAGGACACAATTATATACTGCAATAATTAATGTACTGATTAAAAATGGCGAAGAAACTTTAAAAGATTTTTTGATGAAATTAAAATACAATATTTAGACATTGTTTAGTAATGTATGGAATAAATTGTATTTTTTACTTAGGCATAAGCAATAACTCTCCAAAAAGGACGAGAAATTTTATTAATGAATTGATTTAATAAAGAGGGCTTTAATTTAAAGAGGGCTTTAATTTAAACACATATTATTAATAAGGCTCCGAATAAACCGAATTGAGTCGAATTTTAAAGTAATTCGATTTGATTCGAATTCCAAAAAACTGGATTTGATTCGAATTCCTAAATTTCTTTTAAGTTTCTATTCGAATAAGGTTTATTCGAATGATTTGTTTTATTCGTTATGAATTTGGGTGATTGAAATCATTGAATGTTTATTTGAATAAAACGAATAAAACGAGAACAAGTATTACGAATAGAAACTCTACATATTGATATTAATAACAATAATGATAATTGCATTATTGATTGTTTCAGAAGAACAATCTGATTCTGGAAATGTAATTGCAAATAATGCAAATAATATTAATGATGTTTCATTACTTAACAATAATATGAAAAGGAGCTTCCTGAATTGGAAGAAGATAGTAAAAATGATACATTATGTTCAGGTTATGACGAATCAATTGAAAATTAATCAGAATTATTTGAAAAAAAATGACAACAATGTTTTAGGGATTATGAATAAAGTTAAGGTTAATGACTCATTAACTTGTAATAGTCCAATGGAAATTTCATACTATTATTTCATGAAGTCTGTTATCCTTGCAGTTTAAAGGAACGCAACTTATGTAAAAGATGAATTTTATTTTTATTGTAAATAAAATTTATACCACATGACACTCAATTTTTTTTGGGAAATTTCACAAATTGGGTAAACGAGAACCTTATAAAAAAAAAATTTTTTTTTGACAAATTATATTAGTTAATTTAAAGACAAGTTGTTGGAGATGGAAAAAACTAAAGAAAATAAAAATCATAATGATACTTCTGCTGACAGAAATGAAGAAGATAAATATTCAAAGGAAAGAAAAAAATATTGTGGAGAATGTCGAATTTGCAATAGACATAACACTTGGTATTCATGGTGCCAATCATGTGATCCAAAGATATTAACTGAAGGATGGACTAGTGAGAATGAAATACTAGATGAGTTGATTAAAAGCACACAACTTAAAGCAAAAGCTTATGATAATGAATTTTATCTTCAATGGATTCCTTATAATGATTTAACAAATATTGAAAAGATTGATGAAGGTGGTTTTGCAACTATATACAAAGCTACTTGGATAAATGGCAAGAAAAGTATAAATTATGGTTATGGAAATAATGAAAGAATTATTAAAGATAGGACTGTGGCATTAAAAAAATTACATAACTCTCAGAATATTTATGATGAATTTTTTAATGAGGTAAAAAATTTATTTTCAGATTTTTTAAATATTATTATAATTATTATTGTAATTAAACATTTATTTGTTTTTTTAGTTCAAAAATTATCTAAAATTTTGTGATAATCTAAATATAATTAAAATTTATGGATTAACACAAGATCCAATTACAAAAGAATATATATTTGCAATGAGATATATGGAGGATGGAAGTCTTCAAAATTATTTAACTAAAGATTTTAAAAATTTAAAATGGAAAGACAAAATTAAAATTCTTTATTATATTATTAAAGGTTTAAGAGATATTCATCAACAAAAAGTTATTCATCATGACCTTCATAGTGGTAATATTCTTCAAGAAAGCAATCTAGCATTTATTACAGACTTAGGATTATCATGTCCAGTTAGTCAAATATCATCATCATCAAACAAAAACAATATATTTGGAGTACTATCATATGTTGCACCAGAAGTTTTAAGAGAGAAACCATATACAATGGCATCAGACATGTATAGTTTTGGAGTTCTGATGTCAGTAATATCAACTGGCCAACAACCATTCAGCAATCTAGCACATGATATAAGCCTTGCAATGAAAATATGTGAGGGTATAAGACCTGGATTTTCAAACAACACTCCAAAATTCTACATTGAACTGGCTTACAGATGCATGGATGCTGATCCAAGTAAACGTCCAACTGCTAATGAAATTCATGTGATTATTGAAATGTGGTACAGTTCATTTGATGATCAGGTAATAGATAATTTTGAAAATTATGGATCAAAAAAAAGGATTGATGAATTTAAATCAATTAGAAAGGAATTTGACAAAATGGATGTAATAAAATTTCATCCATTAACAATTACTGCAACAATTCATCCAAATGCAGTTTATACCAGCAGATTATTAAATTTTACAGATCTTCCTCAACTTGTGAATTCTAATAAAGTAACAATTATTAATAATAATGGTAATTACTAATATTTTATTTTATTTGTTTATTAATAATTTAAGTTTATTATTAACAAATTATATTAATGTTCATTCTTGTGATGAAATTTTTTTTAGATTCTCAACAGATTGATTTAGATGTGCTAGATCTATTGTAATTATTTTATTTATTTTCAAACTTATCTTTAGATTTAAATATTTATATTTATAAATAACTTTAAATAAAAAAGCTCATGTGCCTAAATTATATTGTCAACTAGAAAATTTATACAAGTTTTTTGAATGAATTTTGTGTTTCCACTTTGTTCATGTGATTGAGTGTTTTACAGTTCTTTTATTGGATCAGGTTCTTTCTTTTCTTTCTTTAAGGTTTGTTGATCCATTACCCATTGCTATAATCTGGGGTCATTAAAAACATGCCTTGATCTGGTTTGGGAAAAACTTGAAAGAATTCATGCAATTCAGCCAACACTTCTCATTTTGGAACTATTGATGAGCAATCACAACTTTAATAGATAAATTGTTTTTTCATATTTAATAGAACTGCCATGTTTACTTTCTTCATATATATAAGGTTTTACGACTAGAGTAGGTTTTTTATTTTAAATTGAACAAGAAAAACGTCTGCTTAAATAGATTATTAATGCATTCATTGATTCCAAAGTATATATTGTTGATTTTTGGTTGAATTACAACCTCAAATGGGTTGTTAAAAGATATAACTTATGTCACTGATCTTTTGAAAAGTAATGTAATAACATTGCGAGGGATCCTTGCTACATTAATATTATTAATATTAATAAAACTCCTGCATTATGTGTGTTAGAATTCTTTTATTATCATTATCATTTATCATCTTTACATACATACACCTTGAAGGTTCCTTTTTGATTACTGATTTTTAAACATTTCAAGATTGCTTATGAATTCAAAGTGATGCAAGCCTTTGAGCCTTATTTCAAAGAAACTGGCAAAAGTAGTTCCAAAGTTGTCGACGAATCTTTATCTTTTCAATTTTGTGAAGCTTCAACACCTTGAGTTGAAGGACCGACCCTATAGCTTAGAAGTCAAGCAAGCCAAAGAGAGAGAGAGAAGGTCTATGAAAACAACACGAGCTCTCAAATCTAAACTTACCTTCACTAGCTAGATTCCTATTAGCCACAGCCGTGTAACAATTAACCTATTGAATAAACTTCACGCATATTAATTATAATCACCAAAATAGTCAGTGACAATATCATCACCATCACTATCATCAGTGAAATGTTTATCGACGAAATGTGTGTCGACGAAATGATTGTTGACGAAGTGATTGTTGATGAAGTAAACGCGACCGCCAAACAGATTGTAAAGTTGTGAATGATAAATAGCAGGCCTAGTTTGTTTTTAAATAGTTTTGTGATAGGGGAAAGTAGTTGTGAACATTCTTTTTTAGAGAAGAAAGTGGTTTGATATCTGTATTCTAGTTTAGGTGCAAGGACATGGTTTATAATATATTTGATTTGTTCTATTAATTTTTTGGGGAGAAGTAAAGAATTGAAAAGGTGTTGATTGTATTTTTGAAAAAGGAAATATGATGTTTTTTGCGAGCCAGAATTATTGAACCATGCCCCTAGAATTCTAAATGGAATATTTGTGGAAGTGGTATGTTATTAAATGTTGGATTTGTTTCATTATCATTTTTAATAAATTAATGACCATCAATGTAGATTTGTCAGGATTTACTTTAATTGATAGAATTTTGTTCGTTTTTTTTTTTTGATAGAGTAATCCATCTGGTATCATCCATGTATGCAACACTTGCAATTTGTGACAGATTCAGTGTTGGCAGTATATGGTTAGTTGTTAAATTAGATGGTAAATAGCAATTGTTTTGTCAAAACGTAATACGTAATACGTAATTACGAGCAACGAAATTAAAGACACCTGCCGTAATTGGTTATTTGCGGCAATGGTAACTACCATAGGGTAGTTACCATTATAAAATATTTCAGCAGCAGTAATTATCTATGGCAAATGGCAGCTACCAACAGTTATTGACGGTGATGGTAGCTACCAGTTCAATCATTTATGGCAAGTGTCACAGTTCATTTGATGATCAGGTAATAGATAATTTTGAAAATTATGGATCAAAAAAAAGGATTGATGAATTTAAATCAATTAGAAAGGAATTTGACAAAATGGATGTAATAAAATTTCATCCATTAACAATTACTGCAACAATTCATCCAAATGCAGTTTATACCAGCAGATTATTAAATTTTACAGATCTTCCTCAACTTGTGAATTCTAATAAAGTAACAATTATTAATAATAATGGTAATTACTAATATTTTATTTTATTTGTTTATTAATAATTTAAGTTTATTATTAACAAATTATATTAATGTTCATTCTTGTGATGAAATTTTTTTTAGATTCTCAACAGATTGATTTAGATGTGCTAGATCTATTGTAATTATTTTATTTATTTTCAAACTTATCTTTAGATTTAAATATTTATATTTATAAATAACTTTAAATAAAAAAGCTCATGTGCCTAAATTATATTGTCAACTAGAAAATTTATACAAGTTTTTTGAATGAATTTTGTGTTTCCACTTTGTTCATGTGATTGAGTGTTTTACAGTTCTTTTATTGGATCAGGTTCTTTCTTTTCTTTCTTTAAGGTTTGTTGATCCATTACCCATTGCTATAATCTGGGGTCATTAAAAACATGCCTTGATCTGGTTTGGGAAAAACTTGAAAGAATTCATGCAATTCAGCCAACACTTCTCATTTTGGAACTATTGATGAGCAATCACAACTTTAATAGATAAATTGTTTTTTCATATTTAATAGAACTGCCATGTTTACTTTCTTCATATATATAAGGTTTTACGACTAGAGTAGGTTTTTTATTTTAAATTGAACAAGAAAAACGTCTGCTTAAATAGATTATTAATGCATTCATTGATTCCAAAGTATATATTGTTGATTTTTGGTTGAATTACAACCTCAAATGGGTTGTTAAAAGATATAACTTATGTCACTGATCTTTTGAAAAGTAATGTAATAACATTGCGAGGGATCCTTGCTACATTAATATTATTAATATTAATAAAACTCCTGCATTATGTGTGTTAGAATTCTTTTATTATCATTATCATTTATCATCTTTACATACATACACCTTGAAGGTTCCTTTTTGATTACTGATTTTTAAACATTTCAAGATTGCTTATGAATTCAAAGTGATGCAAGCCTTTGAGCCTTATTTCAAAGAAACTGGCAAAAGTAGTTCCAAAGTTGTCGACGAATCTTTATCTTTTCAATTTTGTGAAGCTTCAACACCTTGAGTTGAAGGACCGACCCTATAGCTTAGAAGTCAAGCAAGCCAAAGAGAGAGAGAGAAGGTCTATGAAAACAACACGAGCTCTCAAATCTAAACTTACCTTCACTAGCTAGATTCCTATTAGCCACAGCCGTGTAACAATTAACCTATTGAATAAACTTCACGCATATTAATTATAATCACCAAAATAGTCAGTGACAATATCATCACCATCACTATCATCAGTGAAATGTTTATCGACGAAATGTGTGTCGACGAAATGATTGTTGACGAAGTGATTGTTGATGAAGTAAACGCGACCGCCAAACAGATTGTAAAGTTGTGAATGATAAATAGCAGGCCTAGTTTGTTTTTAAATAGTTTTGTGATAGGGGAAAGTAGTTGTGAACATTCTTTTTTAGAGAAGAAAGTGGTTTGATATCTGTATTCTAGTTTAGGTGCAAGGACATGGTTTATAATATATTTGATTTGTTCTATTAATTTTTTGGGGAGAAGTAAAGAATTGAAAAGGTGTTGATTGTATTTTTGAAAAAGGAAATATGATGTTTTTTGCGAGCCAGAATTATTGAACCATGCCCCTAGAATTCTAAATGGAATATTTGTGGAAGTGGTATGTTATTAAATGTTGGATTTGTTTCATTATCATTTTTAATAAATTAATGACCATCAATGTAGATTTGTCAGGATTTACTTTAATTGATAGAATTTTGTTCGTTTTTTTTTTTTGATAGAGTAATCCATCTGGTATCATCCATGTATGCAACACTTGCAATTTGTGACAGATTCAGTGTTGGCAGTATATGGTTAGTTGTTAAATTAGATGGTAAATAGCAATTGTTTTGTCAAAACGTAATACGTAATACGTAATTACGAGCAACGAAATTAAAGACACCTGCCGTAATTGGTTATTTGCGGCAATGGTAACTACCATAGGGTAGTTACCATTATAAAATATTTCAGCAGCAGTAATTATCTATGGCAAATGGCAGCTACCAACAGTTATTGACGGTGATGGTAGCTACCAGTTCAATCATTTATGGCAAGTGTCTTTAGGTAAAATTAATTACGAGTGACGAAATTAATTATGAGTGACAAGTACTAAATAAAAAGCATTAACATAAAATTTTCAATCTTTGTTGAACCATAAACGATATCTTATCTTGAAGTAAAAAAACCACCGCCTTGTGTGAAAGTATTCATACCTGATTATCAAAAGCATATAAAATATTTAATTGCATTTTTATTACTATTTTACTATTGCTATTACTATTATAATTACTATTATAATTACTATTTTCTCTCGTCGCAAAAACCGGTATTATTCTTCGCTAGTGCTAAAGAACCCCATATTAATATATACAGTGAATCTCGGTTTAACGAATAGTCTGGGCAATTTTCCAAAAATCCACCACATCGAGGCTTTTATTAAGATTTATTATGGAGAACTTCATCTGTTAAACCAGATATTTAATTAGTATCTGCTAAATCGAGGACCGCTAAACCGAGATTCATTTGTAATAAGTAATGATGATTATACAAAATTTTTTTACAACATATTGCCAACTTTAAATATGATTTGCGGCAATAATTAAGACTATTTTTTTTTTTTTTGAAGACATATTTAATATGGGATTTGGACTAGGAAAATCGACCTCTCAGCTGATTTTTTTTATTTTGAGTTTTCTTATTTAATATTAATTTATTATACATGGAGAAAAAATTGGATCTTATTTGTATAGGATGAATGAGATACAGGGCTTGGAATTAAAAAATTATACTAAAAATAGATTTTTTGTCTGAGGGGTTGATTTTCCTAGTCCAATTTCCTCCCATATTCTATAGTTAAATTTTTAAATTCTTGAGTTCTATACTTTTAAAATTTGCACAAAATTTAGGAGGTCTCTAGACCATACGAATCATATGGGGCAAAAACTGTGTATTAAAGCAAGTATAATAATAATAATAATAATGAACTGTTCCCGAAAATTTGTTACACGAAAATTGATTGTTTTGTACCCCAAAATTTGAAAAATTATTAAAAAATAAATTTTGGTGAAATGGCCGAGTTTTCATTTTGGTATGGTGCAAGTCACTTAGTCCTGTTGTACGTGAAAATGAAATTATGTGAATTCGCAATTCACATATGTGAAATTCAAATTTACATACGTGAAATTCAAATTAGCCAATCAGAATTTCACCCCACTCCATAATATTCAATTTCACATAATTTCAATTTCACATACAACAGTTCCCACAACTTTTTATTGGTCGTCTAGATTTTCAAATTCTCTAAAAACGGAAATGCAACTCCCCAAAATAAATCGTGTGTTTGAAGCCAAGACCTTCCTCTACAAAATCACGATTTCATCTCATTGATATGTCATGTTGTTGTGGAGAATTTGAGCTTCAAAGTTGCACGAGTTTACCGAATTTACTATTGTTTAGCCCTAAAATGACAAAAAAAGTTAACATCAAAAATAGACGAATTGAAACAAAATCCTATTGCAGATCTTTTATCACGTGAATTTTCCAGATGAACGGGAAGAGAATTATCTTTATTATTAAAAAAATACAAAGTTCATTTATTTTAAATTTAATAAATAGACTATTGCATTGATCAAAGAAATGTGCAATTTGCAAAATATTCTAACGAACGTTTATCAATTATTTAATAGTTTGTGTAGTAGTAATCGAAATAAGTTTTAAGGACAAGATCTATGAACAAAATATACTAACGAAGGTTTTATCAATCATTCAATAGTTTATATAAATTTCTCT